ATCACGGTGACGGTCTATATTTCTTGTTTAAATTAAAGAAATTTAGCTTGACTTCAGAAGCAATACTATAATATAATAATAATAATAATAATAAATAAAACAATAAAAAGAGTCGATTTCTAAACTCTTACTTATGATACAAGCAAGACGTCTAATAATATATAAGGACAAGCCTTGCTCAAATCTAACATCGGATGCAAGACGTCTAATAGTGTATAAGGACAAGTCTTGCTCAAATCTAACGTGCAAGACTTCTAATAATATACAAGGACAAGTCTTGCTCAAATCTAATATATAAGGACAAGTCTTGCTCAAATCTAACGTCGGATGCAAGACGTCTAATAATATATAACGCCCATGGTGACTTTTACTGTTAGTTTAGGGGACTTTTCTGAGTTCATTGTCATCTTCACAGAATTCTAGAGAGGTTGACTACGCAATATCACGGTGACGGTCTATATGTCTTGTTTAAATTAAAGAAATTTAGATTGACTAGATCAGAAGCAATACTGCTCATGAACTATGACAGGTTTCTCCAGCATGCATTGAAATTGAAAAGGCTTGGATCAATAATGTAATGCAATGTAATGTTGAATTAAGACGTCACACAACTATAAACCTATTTCGTGTAAGTTGATCTTCTTTTACTAATCAATATTGCCTCTTTTTCTTTTTGTTATGTTTCAGTATCAAAACGCACAAGAGACATACACAGGGGGCTCTTTGCACTCGAGTTACATGAACAATTTTGCTGGACCTGAATGAAAAAAGTTGAAATTTCATCATAAAATAAATTGACAATAAAGGGTTTGGTAAACTTCCGATGGGAAACATCTCTTCACACTTTTCCCATGTGTAATGAAATTTCAAATCTAACATGTAAGTCAAGCTGCTTTGATACCCTAATTAAAGTTCCAGCATAAATCAATTGGTAGCATGTCAAATTAACTGACTTCTTATCAGCCTTTGCAAGATTAGTGAACTTCAGATATGCGACATTTATTTACATCCTCATAACGAATGCAACGAGTCCTTCTTTGGCATGTCTTAGCTAGGCAAACGAATAACATCCCACATAACTTTTGCATCACTAGGCTCCACATCTTTTTTGACCTCCGTAGAAACCCTAACAACTGCCACAAATTGTGATGGAAAAGTTAAAGCATATGGTCAATAGTTTATTGCAGCAAGGCCATATGATTCAGCCTTAGAGAAGGAAGAGAACCCACTTGAGGCATAAGCAGTTGAATGGAAAATATACAATATGCGTAGAATATTTACAGCTCTTTCTTTTGACTGGTTAATGCTTACTATGACAAGCCCCAATCCCGATATTTTCCGAATCCTAAAATAGGCACGTGCTGGCCGACACCCGAGGGTAACGAAAACCATTTATTGAGTGCAAATGCTGAAAACAAGGGGTAGATAAGGCTTATAAATATAAAAGAATAATGAATATGCATTTAAGGAACATGTTCAGAGCATACAACTAACTAGAACACTAAAAGAAATAAAATAAAATTGAATGAAACAAAAGAGTGGGTCCTACACCGAGAGGACTCGAATATGCCAATGCAGAAGTGCTTAGACGCCTGGATTGTACGCCTCGATTCTAAGTCCTGAAGGGGGGGGCAAAACAAACATGAGTGGACCAGGTTGATATATATATATATATATATATATATATAATAAAACAATTATCAACGTACTAACCCCCAAGTTTTATGAAAACACTTATATATCATGATAAACATAGGTTTTCTGAAACCTAGCATGTTGTGCAATGTCTCAAATCATAACTTGTATATATAATAATCACTAGTGAATGTACAATAACCCCCAGGCCCCATGCCGGCCTCCCGTCTCTGAGCAGACAGTCAGAGGAAAATACACTTCAGGCTCCATGCCAGCTCCTCGTCCCTGTGCTAATAGCCAAAGGAAGCACACTCCAAGTCATATGCCAACACCAAACCGTCGCCTAGGATAGACCGAAATCTATCCCTACGTCCCGTAGCAGAAAAGACCACTAGGTAAGTACAAAACCAGTGAACATACATATATTGAAAAGCAACTTCATAGTATAAAGTCATCCATCATCTATACTATAAAGAGGTGTTCTAAACATGTTCTAAATATCATATCGTCATCCATCGGATATTCTATAAGAATACGGATTATAGGAAAAATAGTAATAATTCAAACTAGCCTCAGTAAGCATGTTATCTCATAAAACGTTTCATAAAACATGGTCATCATGATTTTCATATATGCATTTCTACTATCAAAACATGCATTTTTAGAAGGGGTCCACTCATAGTATTTAGCTGCCGAAGAGCCACGCAACTAGCGAAAACGGAAAAGCCACAAATAATTGTCCCTAAGCACATAAAGGGTACATTTAGTCAAACTCTACTCAAATGACTTATTTTGGGAAAACAGACATCTGAAACGGATTCAAGACGTCGAATTACCCTAAGAAGGGTCCCAGATAAATTCCGTAAAATGTCAACATAAGAATATTCCAACCGAATCTGGGCTAGGCTGATGAGTTTGGGCTGAAATGTCCTAGGCCTAAAGGCCTAAATTCAAAGGGTTTATGGTTTAAAGTGCACGGGCCTAAGGCCTTAAAGGGAAATGGCCCAAAGGCCTTTAAATTTCAGAAAAACAATTAAAATAAATAAATGGGTTGGGTTTGATTTTAACAAGCCAAAGGCCCTAGTTGGTAAAGGCCAAGGGGCCTGGTTTGAAGGGTTGGGCTCGGGAGCCCGTTACTCACTGGGGAAGAAGGTCGGAATTCGGCCGAAAATTAGACAAATTTTGAACGCTCATAACTTTGTCAATACTTAACGAAATTAAGTGATTCAACAACGAAAATCATAGTTCTCGAAGAGACAAAGAGAATGCTACCTCGCATGACGTCCAACTCGTCGTGGTTTGGCTGGAAAATTCCTTGAAAGCCGCGGAGGTCGCTGGAAACTGGGTAAGATTCAAATGGATAAAACTTCTTCAATACTCAACGAAATTGGGTGAAATAAAAAGGAAAGTTGTAGTACTGGGTGAGACGAAGAGATTGATACCTTGCACGTCAGCCAACTCATCGTGGTTTGGCCCGAAAATGGCCTGAAAGCCACGGGTATTTGCTGGAATCTGGGTTTAGTTCTCCAAGGTGGTTTTCCTATGTCAAAACGTCCCAAGACAATACCTATTTTCATTAAAACCATCAGACCATTGAAAATGAAGAATGAGTGATGGTATTTCGAGCCTCACCTAGTCGGGAATAGTAGAACTCGTCGGCACGGGTGTGCTAAACATGATTGGGTGGTCTCTGTGCTTCACAAAGGAGGAGGGAGAGAAGAAAGGCCGATGATGGTGATGCCGTCGTGTGTTTGTATGTTTGTGTGTGTGTGTTCAACGGTGAGGAGGGAAGAGTAAGGTCGAGAGAGATATAGAGAGTTTCGGGGAGAGAGAGAGCCAAAGGGAGTGATAAGGGTGAGTGAGGAAGAAAATAGAACTTTGAGAAAAAGGGAGAGAGAGTCTTTTCAAAAAAAAAAAAAAAAAAAGTAAAGGGAAGGGAACCGGGGTACAAATTAGGGGTGGGCCCCTCTTAGGCTCACCATTTAAGATCCAAAAATCATTTTTAAAAGGAAAATATCCTCAAACTTAATGAAAATACAAAAACACTCTTTTGGTTCCGTAAATCCCAGGACGGGTTGTTACATACTACCATATGCAGCTGAAAGCTACAAATCAATTATACATATGCCATTTAAGATCCAAAAATCATTTTTAAAAGGAAAATATCCTCAAACTTAATGAAAATACAAAAACACTCTTTTGGTTCCGTAAATCCCAGGACGGGTTGTTACATACTACCATATGCAGCTGAAAGCTACAAATCAATTATACATATGCCATTTAAGATCCAAAAATCATTTTTAAAAGGAAAATATCCTCAAACTTAATGAAAATACAAAAGCACTCTTTTGGTTCCCTAAATCCCAGGACGGGTTGTTACATACTACCATATGTAGCTGAAAGCTACAAATCAATTATACATATGCCAATGTGCGATACATGAAAACGAAAGAGATCCCTCGTTTTCTAGTTTTCGGGTCTTCCTGTTATCTAACCTATGTAGAAATTCATGTACAATATATATTACTGAATTTAACGGCTAAATGTGCGGTCAAAAATCCACAAATATCTAGCAAGTGGAATATCTAAGCAACTTAAAATGCATTGATGTATATTAGGACTCAAAGTGCAGACCACATATCTAAATATTTGGAAGAAATCCTTAGGGGACAGACATAAGCATCTGCAAGGGCTGCCAATCCACATGAAAAATTCATAAATCGTACATCTCTCGCATAAGTATACAATAAACTAGAGTGACATTAGTGGAAATGATTTGGTGGGGTGATTGATTGAGAAGTTTGGGACACTTTTTGAGGTTTTGATTTGGGATTACGGATTATGGATTTGAATTGAAATATAAGACGAACCAATTGGATTTGTATATGTAAATTAGGCCAATTGATTAAAATAGTGTACCTTCTCTCTTGTTTTCTAGTTCAATCTTCTTTTTAGATTTGACTATTTGTAACCTTTCTTGTCCGAGATAGAGGGAATATATATGGAAAAATAAAGAATCGAAATAGTGGATTGGACGTGGGATAAGAAATAAAAACAAAACCTACTAGAAATTGATTTTAGTTTTCAGTCTTCATTTTGTTTAGTCTTTCCTAACCTCCCGCCACCATTCCTCCATCTTTGCTTATCCCTCCTTTATCCTTCATATTCCCCCTCCATAACATAACTAAAAAAATATAAAACTGAAAACGAAATGGTAATCAGAGCAAGCCAGAATAGGTGGAGATATTTTTGCAATTTTGGCTTGCTATTATCTTTGAAATCATAGAATATAGGACTTTTGATACATGAACAAATATGTGAAACATTAAGTTAAAATCCAGAGCGAAAATCAAAGGATTCACATTGAAAGGCAAAATAACATAGTTCAACTTATTTCAGAGACCAGCACCGGAAAGTGCAAATCCAACTATTCGGCAGCTAAAACGTACGAAAAGAAATTCCGACAAATACCAGCTCATACGATAACAGAAGGATTGAAGTTTGTCCTGCTCGTCTAAAGATTTTACATGACATTTCAATCTTGCTTCTGGGTTGGCACAGTCTGTCTCCAGAATCCTGCCAAGGCACTACCCAAGATTGAATGACAAACACTGGAAACAGCACATGGTACTGCAGTTAGAGGGTTTCCGAAGTGCTGACCGGCTAGAACAATTCCAAGCATCGAATTCTGAAACATAAAAGAGCCAAAAACAGCACTCGCAGACAACTGATAGCGCATACAAATTGACATGGATTCTTTCAATCATACATACATACACACACATCACACGTGTGCGCACCCACACAATACAAGCAATCATATGGCTTTGGTACAGAATGAAATTAACAATTGACTGTAATGTCTTTTCGATTGAATAAATGAATGCAATGTCTTTTCACTAGAAATTAAATAGCAGTGGAAAAGCTATGAAACTCTCTTTTAAAAAATCCAGAAGAAAAAAAACAACCCAATGATGCTTACCTGCATGCCAACCTCGATGGAGATAGTCCTTGATGATGTGACATCAAGCCCAAGCATCCTTGAAAAGATGTATCCAAAGAAAAATCCACTTGCATGAAGAAGAGCGGAAGCAAGCACCACTTGTTTACCAGACGTAAGGATTGCAGATGAACTCTGGGCAATTGCATTCCCACAAAGAACACCTACAGTTGCTACAGCAATGGGTGGCATCACGGGGGAGATGAATTTAACCAGGCCTTGGAAATACTGATTCAGAAATGCACCCACCAAAACAGGGAGAAGCACAACCTGTGTTCAAAGCATATGGTACCTCTATATAATTTAAAACAGCAACAGCTATAACAAGACGAAGGAAAAACGATTGAAAGCTTACCTGCAGTGTTGAGAATAAGAGCCCAGCTGCATCTACTGCAACATATTGGCCAGCAAGTTTAGCTGTGAGAAATGGGGTCATGATCTACAGTATGAAAGGGTAAAAGAAGTAAGGTTCCTTGGAAAAAGCTTAAAAGTTAAGTCATTAGTAATAGTAAGTGGTAATTAAATTTCTATGATTATAAATCCAAACAAGGGAATTGGTCATTTCAATTTAAAATTTCTGATTTTTGTCCAAATTTCAAGTTTATTTCCCATGTCCAAACTGTGGGTTAAGGTCTGATCTTTCAGCAGATCACTTTAGGTTGAGAATCGAACAAAGGAAAATTTTATTCATAATTCATATTTAACGAATCATTTCCTGTTGGTATTCACAAGAGTTTACTAACTCAATACCAAAATATGTGGGTGATAAGTTTACAAACTCTATCACACCTCTCACTTTCACTCTCAATAAAATTGGACAAAGAAATAGAGAAAGGAGGGAAGCAACAAGCTTTGGTAAAACACTTGGACTTTGATATATGAAAGAAGTAGCAAGCTTGGTGATAACAAACACTTTGAAATATTAGAAGAGTTTATAACTCTTAAAGCTTACAAGCTGAAAATGAGAATGGAAATGGGATTTGGATGATGTTATCTAAGGCTTAGCAAGATGGCCTATTTATACAAAACCGGAAAAATAAACAATCCAACAATACATATAATGAATGATGGTGTTCCACATCTTTACACCCTTTCAAACACATGCAGCAACTTTGATAGTTGGCATACACATGCATTGCATCATGGCAGGTTGTAATACCTTCCTTTCGGCTAACACATGGAGAAACACTGTTGTCTTCCTGCTAGCACATCACATGGCAGCACACTTGCTGTCTTTCATCACCATTTCAGCTAGCACATGGAGGAAACTTTAGACTTTGTAGTTGCAGCATGTGTGGATACAACCTGTAAAGAAACTAACAACTAGCAGCAACCTTTTACAACCTGTTTTTATTTGAATTTCCAACACGCCCCCTCAAATCAAAACGCCTTCATGCCTAGCATTTCACGCAATAACCGGAATGATTCAACTGGTAGTGGGCTTAGTGAAGATGTCAGCCACTTGTTCCTTTGTGTGACAATAGACAAGCTCAATTGTCTTTTGCTTCACATGGTCCCTTAGAAAATGGAACCTGGTATCAATGTGCTTACTCCTTCCATGTTGGGCTGGATTCCTAGCAAGCTTGATAGCTGAGATGTTATCCACATGAATCACAGTCGATTCCACTTGTGGATGACACACTGACTTCAACAGATTTCTTAACCAAATTGCCTCACACACGGTTGAGGCTACAGCAACGTACTCGGCTTCACACGATGACAAAGCAACAATTGATTGCTTCTTTGAAGTCCATGAGAAAGTTGTTGATCCTAAAAAAAACACATAGCCAGTTGTGTTTTTCCTTTCATCTTGGTCACCTCCCCAATCACTATCTGAATAACCAAATAATTTTGCATCTTCACCAAAATTATAAAATAGACCATAGTTTAGAGTACCTCTTATGTACCTCAAAATTCTCTTGGCGGCCAGCCAATGAGACTCCCTTGGTGTTTCTATGTATCGACTCACGAGTCCAACACCATAAACTATATCAGGTCTTGTGATTGTAAGGTACCTTAGGCTTCCAACCAAGATTTTGTACACGGTTGAGTTTACAAACTCACCTTCTCCTTCCTTGGACAGCTTCAATCCAGTTGCAACTGGAGTGTTGACAATATTGCACTTGTCCATATTAAATTTCTCCAATATATCTCTCATGTACTTTTGTTGAGAGATGTAGATACCGTCACTTCCTTGCTTCACTTCTATGCCAAGAAAGTATGACATTAATCCATTGTCAGTCATCTCGAATTCACTGAACATGGATTGCTTGAACTCACAGAACATTGCTTCATTGTTTCCTGTAAACAACAAGTCATCTACATAGAGACAAACAATTAAGAACTCCCCTTTTGCACCATTCTTCATGTAAACTGAATGCTCGTATGGACATTTCTGAAATCCATTTTGATGAAGGTAGTTGTCAATCCTTGAGTTCCAAGCTCGTGGTGCTTGCTTGAGGCCATACAAAGCCTTCTTCAAACGATACACCTTATCTTCTTTTCCCTGTACTTGGAAGCCTTCTGGTTTTTCCACGTACACTTCTTCCTCAAGAACTCCATTAAGGAAGGCTGACTTGACATCTAATTGATAAATTTTCCATTTATGATGAGCGGCAAGAGAGATTAGCAATCTTACCGTGTCAAGTCTTGCAACTGGAGCATAGACTTCATCATAGTCCACTCCATACTTCTGTTTGTAGCCCTTTGCTACAAGCCTTGATTTGTATCGATCCACACTCCCATCTGCAGTGCGTTTGATCTTGTAAACCCACTTGACACCAATAGCCTTCTGATTTGGTGGGAGCTTTGTCAACTCCCAAGTGTCATTCTTCTCGATGGCATGGATCTCTTCTTCCATGGCTTTTTTCCAACAATTTTCTTCCACAGCTTCATTGAATGAGAGAGGCTCATGGTCTGCATAGAAGCAGAAAAAATTGGTTTCTTCTTCTTCTTGTCCATAAATCTCTGTGAGACTCCTTAACCTCACTGGAGTTGAGGAGCTGCTTTCCTCACTAGATGTAGGACCACTCCTTGCAATTCTGTGCACTGGAGTTGTTGTGATTGTTTGAGCAGGTTGTTGCTCAACAGGTGGTACAACTTCTGGTTCTTCAAAATCAGTGGAGACGATCTTCTCTTTACTGACTTCTTTGTTGTTCCACATCCATGCCTCTTCCTCACTAAATATGACATCTCTACTAACCACTAGTTTGCCAGTTAGTGGGTTGTAGAGCTTGTACGCCTTGGACTCTTCACTATAGCCCACAAACACACACTTCTCACCTCTATCATCAAGTTTCCTCCTCTTGGCTTCTGGAACTTGAGCATATGCAACACACCCAAAAATTCTTAGGTGTGTAACATTCGGCTTGTATCCACTCCAAGCCTCTTGTGGTGTCATCCTCTTGACACTCTTTGTTGGACATCGATTCAACAAATAAATCGAACAAGCTACAGCTTCTGCCCATAACTCTTTTGGCAAATTCTTCTCCTTAAGCATGGACCTTGTCATGTCAAGGATGGTTCGATTCTTTCTTTCGGCTATCCCATTTTGCTGTGGGGTATAGGCAGCAGTAAGTTGATGCCTAATTCCTTGCTCCTTGCAGTATGCTTGGAAAGCATTGGAGGTGTACTCTCCACCTCTATCTGATCTCACAGCCACAAGCTTATGGTTACTTTCAGCCTCTGTGAGTGCCTTGAACTCCTTGAAAATTTTTAGGGCAGCTGACTTCTCCTTGAGAAAATAGACCCAAGTCTTTCTACTGAAATCATCAATGAAGGTAATAAAATACCTATTACCTCCGTAAGACATGGGATCCAATGGACCACATATATCTGTGTGCACCAACTACAGTGGTGCCTTTGCTCTCCATGTATCACCAACAGGGAACGATAGTCGTGCTTGCTTGCCAAGCACACAACCTTCACATACTTGGCGTGTGGCTTCAATTTGGGGTAGACCACGAACCATTCCTCCACTTGACAGCAACTTTAAGCCATTGAAATGAAGATGGCCAAATCGAAGATGCCATTTCCATGACTCATCTTCCATTACACCGATGTTGCAGCTTCCAATCTTTGTGTTCAAATTCAACGGAAACATCCGGTTCTTTGACATTCGAACACGTGCAATGAGCTTTCTCCTTGCATTCCTAAGAGTGAGAAGCATGTTCTCCATATGTATAATGTACCCTTTCTGGAGCAGTTGACCAATGCTCAGAATGTTGCTCTTCATACCTGGTATGTAGTAGGTATCAGAGATGTATTCTTCTCTACCATCCTTCTGGATGATCTTGATCTTCCCTTTGCCTTTAACTGGCAACTTTGAGGAGTCACCAAGACTTACAGATCCATAGGCCCCATCTTTGAGTTCGGCAAAAAACTCCTTCTTTCCACACATGTGATTGCTTGCACCAGAGTCCAAATACCAAACATCTTGTTGGCTACTGGAATCATGGTGTGCTAGCAAGACTGTAAGTTCTTCATCAGTATTTCCACTTGATTCTGCCATGTTGACATGCTCACCATTTTTATGTGAACATTCATTGGCATAATGTCCATCTTGCTTGCAATTGTGACATTGGATATGTGCCTTTCCTCGAGTAAATCTCCACTCTTGAGACTGACCTCGATTTTGTGCATAGCCTCGACCTCTTCCTCGAGCTCGTCCTCGGCTACGGTTAGATGAACTCCCACGACGTGAGTTCCACTGCCCACGACCTCCATTTGGTTTGTCAATATTCAACTTTGACTCCAAAGCTTGCTCTAGCGTTGTGGGGTTTGCATTCTTCTGAATGCGTTGCTCGTGAACTAGGAGGGATCCTAGTAGCTCCTCTGTGCTCATCACCTCCAAATCCTTGGATTCCTCAATGGCAGTCACCACATGCTCAAACTTAGATGTGAGTGACCGGAGTATCTTCTCTACAACTCGTACTTCATCGAGTCTCTCGCCATTTCTCCTCATCTGATTTACTATCACAATGAGCAATTTCAAAATCTGCTCGAAGTGACTGTAATCTCACTTTCTTGACCCGATCTACTCCTTTGTAGATTGTACTGAGTGTGTCCCATACTTGCTTGCTCGTTGTTGCTTCTGCAACCTTTTCGAACGTTGAATCTTCCAAACCCTGGTATAGAAGATACAGCGCCTTTTGGTCCTTCTTTCGTAAGTCCTTGAGAGTGTTCCTTTGATCCGCAGTATATACGGCTTCTTGCTCGGCAGTGGGTACAACATACCCACTACTGACAACTTCCCATAGCTCCTGTGATCCAAACAATGCTTTGAATTGGATGCACCATCTTTCATAATTTTCTTTCTTCAATGTGGGAACCTGGAGTTGCACTAAATTGGACGCCATAGCTACTGCACTTGCCAGAATGGTATTCTGGCTCTGATACCAATTGTTGGTATTCACAAGAGTTTACTAACTCAATACCAAAATATGTGGGTGATAAGTTTACAAACTCTATCACACCTCTCACTTTCACTCTCAATAAAATTGGACAAAGAAATAGAGAAAGGAGGGAAGCAACAAGCTTTGGTAAAACACTTGGACTTTGATATATGAAAGAAGTAGCAAGCTTGGTGATAACAAACACTTTGAAATATTAGAAGAGTTTATAACTCTTAAAGCTTACAAGCTGAAAATGAGAATGGAAATGGTATTTGGATGATGTTATCTAAGGCTTAGCAAGATGGCCTATTTATACAAAAACAGAAAAAATAAACAATCCAACAATACATATAATGAATGATGGTGTTCCACATCTTTACACCCTTTCAAACACATGCAGCAACTTTGATAGTTGGCATACACATGCATTGCATCATGGCAGGTTATAATACCTTCCTTTCGGCTAACACATGGAGAAACACTGCTGTCTTCCTGCTAGCACATCACATGGCAGCACACTTGCTGTCTTTCATCACCATTTCAGCTAGCACATGGAGGAAACTTTAAACTTTGTAGTTGCAGCATGTGTGGATACAACCTGTAAAGAAACTAACAACTAGCAGCAACCTTTTACAACCTGTTTTTATTTGAATTTCCAACATTTCCAAGGGAGATAGTTTGATGCTCCCCGTAGCTTTTGACAGGCAAAAGAAATAGACACGACAGAAAGTTAATCAGGATTTAATTTTTCCGGGAGTTTTAGCAGAAAATTTGATTCAAACTTATCTTTCTAACCAGTTTTCAATGTATGTGCAAAAATTTGGACCATACCAGTACACCACTTAAAGAACAAAAAAATATCAAAAGAAATTGACGTCAGTTTACCAACCACGGCTGATAAAGCGCTTGCCGCTCTCATTAAAACCGAAAGTGCCACATTTCCACTGCAAAAACAACAAGGTCATCAGATCCTCTGGCCAGGAGAGGGGAAAAAAGTAAAGTAGACTTTTGTCACCCTAGTTTTTGAAAGTTTTAGTATCATCCCTTTCGGTCTTATTCATCTGAGCAGCAAGATGGTATGCAAGGTGCAAGTGAAATGTAGGCGTGCCAATCCTGTAATATTTTTTCAATATAACATACCCATCCAACTCACCAACACTCTGTTGGGGCTGGCAACATAAAGGGGTGGGATAATTATGACAAGTTGATACTATTTCAGATGATTCATGTACCGTGCAATATAAGTTACAATGTTACTTGCTGTTCCTGCCAAGAAATAACCGGGGAAAAATTGTATTCAGAAAAAGCGGTGAAGATTGAGTAAACATAACAACGATATCTACGAAAAGACTGGCACAGATACATACCACCTGGGCAGCAACCAACCAATATCAAACCAGCTGCATAATACGATGGCAATTTCAAAAGCTTGCTCACAAAATATACTGATAAAGGCATCACCTGCAAGTAGTACTCACCATTTAAATCGTAAATGTTACATATTTGCGCCTAAACAGATCAAAGAACACATAACCACAATTTTTCACCCCAGTACGAAACAACATGGAGTTAGAAATGTTTGCAAGATCAATGTTGTTGACACTGGACCCTAAGATAACAAGAGGATGAACACTGCAGGGGTAACTAAGAGTAGTAAAAAAATTTATATATTCAGAGTCATAAAAAACAATGACATTTGCTTGAAGGCTTGAACTGGAAAATTAACACAAATATCAAAGATTTTATGTGATATGAACACAAAGGCTAATTACTACAACAAATGAGCTATATGCATCAAACAAAATGTAGGGAATGGCATTCAGTATTCGATTCAATTATGTATTAATTCAATATAAGCATTAATATACGCATGAAATGTGGAGCTACAGACCGAGAACTGAAGAACAAAGCCAGCAAGCAACTCCTTGGGCATAGCCAAGGCACCACGAAGGTCGGCAAAAGTGAGGGTCATACCCATGCCGAGCATGGTCAGTGTTAAACCTAAGATGTTGTAGTTGGGTGTGACCCAATTGAAGGAGCTCGGCTTGAGGAGCCCCAACAGGCACCCCAAAGCAACCCAAATCGGGAAATGCAGTCGACACAGCCTCACCAACCAGTTCAACCCAATCCCTGAAACTCCTAGTTGCATTTGCGTTGGAGCTGTTGGACGAAATGCCGCAGTGAAGCGGAGCTAGTGGTAATCGTGCGTTCTTGGCTGTTGGTATCGCTCTGGATTTTAACTTAATGTTTCACACTACTAGAAGGATTTCAGTAGGTTAGCACAAAGCAATGAATTGCTCTGCCCCTAATGGATCATCAACTGTGTCCACAGTAAAGCTTTCACAAGGCATTTCCATAAGAGGAAATAGGTTGACGACTCTAAAGGGAAGGCTTTTGGAATCTGCCATAAATTGTAAGCTGACCCATCCAGATACTAAGGAACTCAGTATTCAATGGTTCTTTGACAAAGAGAAGAGAGATTGCGAACCGGTTCGAACCACAATAAGTACTTAATAAGCAAAATAAATGAAACAGCTTAAAACTTTAGGTTAGGTAGTTAAATATATCCTAGTACACATGTACACTGTGAGAGAAGTCTCCTCTTTTTATTTTTTAAATGGAGACTTGGAAGAGTAATTCAACATTCTCTTTGTCTATGTGTAAACAGTAATTGATCACTCCCGCTCTTCTTTTCTTTGTGTATGTGTAAAGAGTAATTCAATTCATGACGCTCCTGGCAACTCTTGAGCTTTCTTTGAGAACTGTGTGATGGAACTCAAATTCTAAGCGGCGTAAGAATTGAAGTATTCCTCTGGGTTATATTTTGTTAATTCCTTCTGGAAATGTACACATTAACTAACCCATAAAACCTCAACCTGACTTCTCTCATTCAACCTGCACCAACGTACGTAACTTTGTCGCTGATCTCAAGAACCACTTGAACCACCAGAGTCAAGCTGATTCTTCCTTGCCTTGTTTTGGCAAAACTTACAATGTCCCCACTTATCCGTGCATGTCTAATATGAAGCATAGGTATTCATAAGGTAGGGAAAAGTGTTTGGAGAACTTTGCTAAATGATTCAACTTAGTTTTTTGGAGAAATGAAGTGGTATTTATAGGGGTGTGGCCGGCCCCCTTTGGAGAGGTGGGAACTGGCCACATTTGGTGATTTTTGGGTGTAATTGCAAGATATTATGTCACATCTTGATTTTTGTATGAAGATTTAAGGAGCCACATCTTGATGAACTCGGAGTTTCCATCTTTTTCCAGTGTATGTGCCACCATACAACGAGAAGAAGTTAAAAGGTGAGTCATTGCTCTTGACACCAAGTCCAGTGTGTGAGAAGCTCGAGCATATGCTTCAAATCACAAGTCACCTCAATCAAAGGTTTAAAAGGGAAAAAGGTCAGACTTAAAATGTGATCACTGTCTTTGCATTGGTCACCTTGGAATTCGCCATACCAAAGATCGATGCTGGATACTTCATCCAAAGTTAAAACCTAAGTTCAACAAGGATGACAAATGACATTTCAAAGTAACTCAAACCCACCATTCAAAAACAGTTATGGGTCCAATCTTCCAGCATCTTTCTCAATAAACCATGCAAGTCAAACTCCCAATGGTGGTTTGTTAGATTTTACGTCAAATCCTACTACATTGATCAATGACTTTGCTTCCTACCTTCAACGCAAAAATTCAAGGGGTCAGAATGAAGAAACAGTGGAAACTGGAGCGGAGAACCACACTACTCTCCTTGGGAAGTTCACTGGGTTTTTGGCAGAAGCAGAAGGAATACCACATGAAGACACTGCATATATCTTAAATACTTATTTCAATAGCTCAAAATACAAGTCTTGTGCATGATTATTGGATATGGGTGTCATTGATCACATGACAAACCAACCTACAAACTAGCATGATTTTAAAAAAATGTCATCTTAAGTATCAGTTGTTAATGGTAGAGGAGTTTCAGTCATGGGATTTTTCAGGACATAGTTACCATAGTTACCGGGAAGATGATTGGTTAAGGCTTGTTTCAAAATGGCCTTTATTACTTATCTATGAAGTTTTCGCAACCAAAGGGTCTACAAGTCAGTACAAATAGATGTTTAAGTGATGAAATTTTGTGGCAATAGCTCCCTTATTCATTCCATCCTTGTACTCAATACAAAGATCCTCATCCAACCCACAACTCACATGAAATGCCAAAGGGCATTTAAGCTCAGAGCACTGGATATCACACCCCCTTGAACTCTCACAAACATAGCACCTCTCCTTCCACCGCATTGTCAAAACCTTGGAGCAATTAATCCCTTCCCAACCTTCGGGGATACTTGAATAACACTTCCAGTGTAGAGAGTGAATCTCACATTGAAGAGATGAGAGACCTTGCATGTGCTTATAAGGGAGTTAGACTACTTCTCATATTGTCAATTGGTTTTATGGTGAAACCTCAACTTTCTTTATAGTATTAGAACAGGTTGGCTCATGTGTGAAGCCCAACGACCACACTTGCTCCACGTCACTCGAGTTGTGTTGTTCAAGTGTTAGGCTTGAAAATTTGTCACACATAAAAGGACGTGTTGATAGTGAATCCTACATTGATAAGAGGAAGGACCTTACATAAGTTTACAAGTAGTTGGGCTATTCTCTATATTACCAATTATTTTTATGATAAAACCTCAACTTTTTTTTGTTCGTACACAATGTGTGCCTACCTGCCGTCTCCAGTGGGCTTTATTACTGTAACAACCCGTCCCGGAATTTACGGAAGAAAATGGGTATTTTTGTATTTTCACTAAGTTTGGGGATACCTTCCTTTTTAAAATTGTTTTTGAACCTTATTTGGTGAGCCCAAGGGGCCCACCCCCTGTTTTGTTCCCGGTTCCCTATCCCTTTCCCTTTTTCTTTTTTTTGAAAAGTCTCTCTTCTCTCTTTCTTCCTCTGTGATTTCTCCATCCCCCCTCACGAAGAAACCACCTCAGAGACATTTCCCAGTTTTCCGGCGAGCACCGTCCCTTTCGAGGCGATTTCCGGCCAAACCACTGCGAGTTGGCCGACGTGCGAGGTATGAATCTCTTCGTCTCGCTGAGTACTACAACTTTCCTTTTTGTTTCACCTAATTTCATTGAGTATTGAAGAAGTTATGCTCATTTGAATCTTACCCAGTTTCCGGCGGACACCCGTGGCTTCCAAGCTGTTTTCCGGCCAACTCCGGCCACAATGACGGAAACCAAGGGTATATTTCGATTCCTTACCTTCGGGGCTTCAATTTGGTATATTGAATGACATGTTTTGGTTGAGTTTTGAGCTCCAACGGAGCTTGGGAATTCTCCGGCCGAAAACCGGCCTTCTCCTTCCTTGGACTCCGGCGAACACCCAAGGCCTGTGGGCCTTTCCTGCCAAGCCCAAAACCTGGGCAGCCCAACCCAACACCCTTTGTAATTGGGCCTTTGGGCCGTGAGGTTTCCAACCCAAACCCATTTTCCTTCTAGCCCAAACCCAACCCACCTAAAGCCTAACCCAATTACCTAAACCCATTTACCCTAACCCAAACCCAAAACCCTAAAGCCCAAACCCATGACCCGTGACCAGTGACCCGTTGACCGTTGACCCGGTCAACGGTCAGCGTTGACTTTGACCTCGGGGGTTGACTTTTTGGGTTTTCGTGCGGGACCCCTCCTAGGCTAATTTCGACGTCCTGAACCCGTTTCCGATGTCCGTTTTCCCAAATTCAACCGTTTGAGTAGAGTTTGACTAAATGTACCGTTTATGTGCTTAGGGGCGATTATCTGTGGCGTTTCCTTCTTTGCTAGATGGCGTGGCTTTTCGACGGCGAAGTACTGTGAGTGGACCCCTTCTAAAAATGCATGTTTTAATGGTAGAATTGCATACACAGAAAAGCATGACTTTACGATTATGTTTTATGAAACGTTTTGAGATAATATGCTTACTAAGGCTAGTTTGAATTATTACTATTTTTCCTATAACCCATGTTCTTATAGAATATCTGATGGATGACGATATGATATTTAGAACATGTTTAGAACACTTCTTTATAGTATAGATGATGGATGACTTTATACTATGAAGTTGATTTTCAATATATGTATGTTCACTGGTTTTATACCTACCTAGTGGTCCTTTCCGCTACGGGATGTAGGGATAGATCCGGTCCGTCCCGGGCGACGGTTTGGTGTTGGCATAGGGCCTGGAGTGTGTTTTCCTCTGACTGTCTGCTCAGAGACGGGGAGCCGGCAAGGGGCCTGAAGTGTATTTTCCTCTGACTGTGTGCTCAGAGACGGGGAGCCGGCATGGGGCCTGAAGTGTTATATCGGACATTCACTAGTGTTTATTATTTATGCGAATTATGATTTGAGATACTGCACGACATGCTAGGTTTCGGAAAACCTATGTTTATCATTATATATATGTGTTTTCATAAAACCTGGGGGTTAGTATGTTGATAACTGTTTTATTATATATATATCAACTTGGTCCACTCATGTTTGTTTTGCGCCCCCTTCAGGACTTAGAATCGAGGCATACAATCCCGACGTCCAGGCACTTCCGCATCGGCATCTTCGAGTCCTCTCGGTGTAGGACCCACTCTCTTGTTTCATTCAATTTTATATTATTTTCTTTTAGTGTTCTAGATTAGTGGTGTGCTCTGAACACGGTCCTTATTTGCATATTCATTATCCTTTTATATTTATAAATCTTATTTATCCTTTGTTTTCAGCATTTGCACTTAACAAATGGCTTTCGTCACCCTCGGGTGTCGGCCAGCACGTGCCTATCCTGGTATTCGGGGAATATCGGGGTCGGGGCGTGTCAATTACCCCTCAATTGACAGGACACAAATAACAAGAACCAGGACTCAATGGATTGGGAATGCACAGCAGAAAATGCGCATTTGGCACAGAACCAATCGCCTTTCAGATACCTTTACGAGGGGATTTCCATAGTAGGAGGCATAAACCATCAAATCACACCTGTCACAAAACACAATTGGATCTGATGGATCTCCATTTGTGCTCTGACAAACAGCACACAAAAAAACCCATCATTTTTTCTTCATTGCACTCTTCATCCCCTGCAATTTCTTGGCTTCTCTCTTCTTGGTCTTGGGTAATCTCGATATTTTCTTTGCAGCAATTTTCAGATTTACCCTCCATTTTCCCCACCACCTCTTCTTCCGGCTCTGACCCAAAAGGCAACTTGTACTCGACATTAAGGTCCAATGTCGAAAGGGGCTCTCTGGGGAACAAATCGGGCTGAAACGCCCAAACCCTTTTCTTGGCAGGCACAGAATAGGTGAGATGGCAGTGGCGGAGGTGACAAGGTTAGGGAGAACGAGTTGGTCACTAGGTGCCTTTCCTTTTTTTCCCCGAAATGTGCAAAAAGGACAAAAAGGCATCCTTCTGCTGCTGCTACATGAGTCTGAATCTCTTGAAATGAGGTGGGCCATGGAATCTCTGATCCATTTGTTGGTCTGGTTTTTGGGCAAATAAAAATGGGCAAAATGATTTGGTGGGAAGATTGATTGAGAGAGTTTGATATGTATTGAGGTTTTGATTTAGGATTAGAGATTATGGACTTGAATTGAAATATTAGACGAACAAACTAGATTTGTTGTGGGAACTTTGAAAGTTACGAGCCTTCGTTTTTATTTGAGTTTTATTAGCCAATATTTGAATTTGGTGGGGTATTTAAGTTTTTGGTTGGGGGAATAAACTAGATTTGTTGTGGGAACTTTGAAAGTTACGAGCCTTCGTTTTTATTTGAGTTTTAGTAGCCAATATTTGAATTTGGTGGGGTATTTAAGTTTTTGGTTGGGGGAATTTTGGTACCAGAATTATTTGGGTGAGAGGTCTGGCTTTGTTGTTGGGCTTGGGCGTTGGGTTACGATTTGAGAGAAGTTTTCTCTCAAAATGACTAGGAGTTTTTTTTTTTTTTTTTTTGTACAACGATAAGCCGAAAATTAAAATCTTTCGATCTAAACTTTGTAGATGTAAATGAGATAAATTGGATAAAGTTGTGTAATAGTTCCCTTGTTCCCCAATTCAATCTTATGGATTGGACTATTTGTAACTTTTCTTGTCCGATATAGAGGCTATCATAGGCAAAATAAAAGAACGGAAATGGCGTGGACCAGACATAAGATAGGAAAGAAAAATAAAAACAAGTAGTGTTACACTTATCACATTTTTCATACCACATTTACATAATCTCTCTAATAGAGGTATAACCCACCAATACATGTTCAACTTATTCACAGACTAGCACCAAAAAGTGCAAATCAAACTGTCCATAGCTACTACGTATGGAAATAAATTCCGACATACGCTGCCAAGGTAGTACCCAAGATTGAATGACAAACGCTAGAAATAGTACATGGTACTGCAGTTATGTCACATCCCGACTTGGGCCCCCACCACATCCCGGGCCCGCTCCACCACCGTAGCACGATATTGTCCGTTTTGAGCCCCGACCACGCCCTCACGGTTTTGTTTCTGAGAACTCACACGAGAACTTCTCAATGGGTCACTCATCATGGGAGTGCTCTCACGCGCTACTCGCTTAACTTCGGAGTTCCCATGGAACCCGAAGCCAGTGAGCTCCCAAAATGCCTTGTGCTAGGTAGGGATGAGAATATACATATAAGGATCACTCCCCTGGGTAATGTGGGATCTTACAATCCAACCCCCTTAGGGACCCGACTTCCTCGTCGGCACAATGCAGCTAAGGTTAAGCTTTGATACCAAATTGTCACATCCCGGCTCGGGCCTTCATCACAACCCGGGCCCGCTCCACCACCGTAGCACTATATTGTCCACTTTGGATCTCGACCACGCCCTCACGGTTTTGTTTCTAGGAACTCACAAAAGAACTTCCCAATAGGTCACCCATCATGGGAGTGACCTCGTGCGCTACTCACTTAACTTCGGAGTTCCCATGGAACCCGAAGCCAGTGAGCTCCCAAAAGACCTCGTGCTAGTCAGGGATGGGAATATACATATAAGGATCACTCCCCTGAGTAATGTGGGATCTTACAAGTTAGAGGGTTTTCGAAGTGCTGACCGGCTAGAACAATTACAAGCATCGAATTCTGAAACATAAAATAGCCGATAACAACACTCGCAGACAACATGGTACTGCAGTTAGAGGGTTTCCGAAGTGCTGACCGGCTAGAAAAATTCCAAGCATCGAATTCTGAAACATAAAATAGCCGATAACAACACTCGCAGACAACTGATAACGCATGCAAATTGACATGGATTCTTTCAATTACACATACACATCACACATGTGCGCACCCACACAACACAAGCAATCATATGGCTTTAGCCATAGGATGGAATTAACAATTGACTGTTATGTCTTTTGGCTTTAATAAATCAAAGCAATGTCTTTTCGCTTGAATGAATGAAATTAACAATTGACTGTAATGTCTTTCCGTTGCGATGTGCCGATGCTATGCCACCGCAACGCAACAGCCGTTACGCCATACTCAGCTGGGGAAGTTGCAGCATGCACTCCATGAGCAGCAGAAGCTTCCCCACTACACAGACGGTGTGCGTTGAATAATTCGAAGGGTTGAGGGTTGGGTTGATAAGAGAGAAGGTGAGATCAAGGGATGAGAGTGAAAAAGGAAACTGAAAGGAAAGAGTGGGGAGGAGGAGGGGGCTGGTTTGTAGCATGTGGGAGAATACAAATTCAAACAAAAAGAGAGTGGGGGAATTTAGTTAGATGGTTGGGGTTTGGTGGTGGGATAATAGGATCGTTAGTCATATTTGTCAGGATAGAAAAAGAGAGAAAATTGAAATGGGTCAAATGGTGGAAGAAAGGGAATAGAGAGTGTAGAAAGGGATTGGTTTAAAATGGTAAAGATGATATTTCCTCTTTCATATTATTGTTAATTATCAATATTTTATAGCTAAGATATATCATATATGGCTCACTTCCTAATTCATAAATTGTTCCTAATTCATAACAAGTTTGCACTTTGCTTAAAGCGAAGTAAGCAGCCATTTCTTGGCAAGCAAAACCACAGCTGAAGTAACCTTCCACCGCCTGCTTAAAGAAAGTTGTCTCCTTGTTATTAACACATTTTTCTTCTCTCAACCCATTTTTGCTTATTACAGAACCACAACTAAGAGATTGGAGTTTGAGAGAAACCTAGTGTAAGTGTTAGCTGTAAGTTTATGAGCATGAATTGTGGAAGGAATCAGTTCTTGTGTCTAAGATTGATATGGAAAAGTCTTTGTCAAAAGCTTTAACTTATTTGGTTTCCTTGTGGAATAAGTATTGAGAGATTATGAGTAATCCTTGTGAGATTAAAACTCAGTAATAGAACACGTTTTTGATTGATATGTTGTATCAATCGTGGAGTCCGAATCCTAAGTCTATTCTGATAGGGAATGACAAAAGGAGTACTGTAAAAGGCTTATGCCACTGCTCTTGCAAGATACGGTTCATAGCATTCTGAGTCCTATTGTTTGGAAGAACCATTGTGCCTTGCTAACGAGGAGAAGGCTGCAAGCTGTGAAGTTGCAATGGCTTCTTCATCTGGTTCCAATTCTGCAGGTAAGTTCTTGAGTGTTTCTCATGTATGAATTCATCTCTTGGTTAAATGAAGTTGTGATTTAATTGGTTGTATCCATGTTCTTTAGATTGATGAACTGTTCGAGATTATTCTTACATGTGGTATCAGAGCCTTGGATTCTAACCATTAAGTTCAACCCTCCATGAAAACCATTGCATCTGGGACACAAGCTGCACGCTAGGGTTCAAAGAATTCGAAGCTAAATAAAACGGTGTCGTTTATAAATATGGCCGTCTATATATATGTGTGTGTGTGTGTGTATATATATATATAATTAAAAAAAACAAAAATAAAAAATATGGTGTCGTTTTAATTACAAATCTGGGATTGCTGTCCCGTTTGTGTTCTTCGAGATGAGTTTTCTTTTTGTTCTCTTTCCCTTTCCTTATTCCATATTGCGAGAATGATTCTAATGTCGAACAATAAGTCTTTCAAACTTCTTGAATAAAGATATGAATTCTGATTTAATTTGCACCTGAGTTTTCAATTTTAAATTTGTTCTGCATACTGTCATGCTAAAAGGAAAATTTGAATATGTTCTGTATTTTCTGATTACCTTGGATGTCAATAAAGTTTTGAGTTGAACGGTTGCATAGATTGTTACAAATTGTTTTCGCTGGTATAACTAATAAGAAATAAATCAAATAAGTTTTGTCTTACTGTCTTATATTGTACAATCGGTGCTAACCACTTCTGCAGAAATATGACAAATAGTATGCAGTTAGAACAATTAGTGTTGTTTGTGGATTTCATTGTAATTGTTTACTCTATATATATCATTAAACTCAAGTGTATATATATATATATATATATATATATATATATATATATATATATATATATGACTAAATTGATTCAATGAGCTAAATTTTAATGGTGAAAAAGATGGAAGTCAGGAATCTTTAAAAGGGTTCATAGTTCTGATTTTATTTATCAATTATGCAGTTTCACTCAAGACACTAAATTTAGCAGCAATGCCAATACTCACTGGTGGAAGCAATTATAAGAAATGAAGAAGAGATATTGAATTGCTCTTGACACTGAATGTGTCACATCCCGGCCCGGGTGGTACCACTTCCCGGGCCCGCTCCACCACCGTAGCACGATATTGTCCGCTTTGGGCCCCGACCACGCCCTCACGGTTTTGTTTCTGGGAACTCACACGAGAACTTCCCGATGGGTCACCCATCCTGGGAGTGCTCTCGCGCGCTACTCGCTTAACTTTGGAGTTCCTACAGAACCCAAAGCCAGTGAGCTCCCAAAAGGCCTCGTGCTAGGTAGGAATGGGAATAAACATTTAAGGATCACCCCTGGGCGATGTGGGATGTCACAGAATGAGTATGACATTGCCCTTGACAATCCACAACCTGAAGCTTTGATTGATAAAAGTACCAAAGCCGAGAAGACTGAGTTTGGAAGATAGACTAGAGCAAACAAGGTGGCTTTAGAAAGTGGAATGACAGACACCATGTGTGGGGGAATCAAGAAATTTGCTCTTGCTAAGGATTGTCTCCAGGCCATTAAGAATAAATTTAGGGAATCTGAGAAAGCTGAAATTGCTCAACACATATCTCTCTTAACTTCTTACAAATTTGAAGGTGGAGGCTCAATCAGAGATCGTATTATGAGGATGACTGATGCAGCCAAGAAGCTCACTTCCATGGATGTCAACATTTGTGAAGAGCAACTAATTTTCATGATATTACAAGCCCTGCCACAAAAGTATAGCCAACTCAAGGTATCTTACAACACTCAAGACAAAACTTGGATCGTGGATGAGTTGATTGTCACTGTGTGCAAGAGGAGAATCGATAAAAGCAAGAAAAAAGCAAAGAACCTGAGTTTGTCAATTTTGTGCAATCTGCAAAGGGAAAGAAGAAGGCAAATTCAGATAAAATTTCTAAACCTCAGACTTTTGATAAATATATGATACCTGCTAAAAATTCTAATTCCTCTAAGTCTAATAAATTTAAGGTGAAAAACAAAAATATTGAAAAGGTTAGATGTCATCATTGCAAAACCAAAGGTCACTATAGAAAAGATTGTGAAATTTTCAAGGATTGGTTGAGATCTAAAGGAAGAACGGATGTCTATGTGTGTGAGGAGTCAAATGTCATTTGATATTCCTACTGATTTTTGGTGGTTTGATACTTGTGCATCTGTGCATATCACAAATTCTCTGCATGGTTTTAAAGAGCAAAAGAAAACAAACTGTTTTAATGTTTTCGTTGGGAAAGGAACCAAAGTGGCAATTGAATCTATAGGGACTGTAAACTTGAAATCGGTCACTGGGATGATATGTTATACGTACCTAAAATGAGGAGAAATTTAGTATCAGCATCAAAACTAGTAAAACAAGGGTATTCCTTTAAGGGCAGTGATGAGAGTATAAAATTTTTCAAAAAAGGTTTAATACAGGGAAAAGCAATTTTATTTGATCATCTTTGGAAGTTGCAATGCATTGTTGAAATTGAAAATTTGCATGCTTTGACTACTGCAACTAAAAGAATGCATAATTTTGATCAAACATTCATGCTTTGGCATAAGAGCCTAGCACACATTTCTAATGAAAGAATCTTTCAATTATCAAGATTACAATTAATTCCTACCATAGATTATAAAACTACATTTGAGTGTATTGATTGTATGAAAGGCAAAATGACTAATGTTAGGAAGTTAGATGCTAAAAGAAGTCTTAGTTTGCTTGAGATCACACACACAGATATTTGTGGCCCTTTTCCTATCAAAACCATTTGTGGGAATACCTATTTTGTGAACTTTATTGATGACTTCTTAAGATTCAGTTATGTTTTCCTTATTCGTGAGAAATCACCAGTCCTTGGTTGTTTTAAATTCTTTAAAAGTGAAGCTGAGAAACAGTTAAATCATGTGATTAAAATTGTTAGATCGGATAGAGGAAGGGAATATTTTGGCAAGTCAAGGGATTGTGGCACAATATACCACTCCTGGAACACCACAACAGAATGGAGTGGCAGAAAGGAGAAATAGGACATTAATAGAGATGGTGAGAAGTATGATTTCAAGATCAAAACTTCCTGGTTTTCTTTGGGGTGAGGCATTGAAGACAGCAAATTACATCTTAAATCGGGTGCCATCTAAATCTGTGCCAAAAAAACCATTCAAATTATGGAATGACCAACTGCCAAGCTTCAATCATTTTCATGTTTGGGGATGCAAAGCAGAAGCAAGATTTTACAATCCAAGTGAGAAGAAATTGGAATCCAAAACCACTACATGTTTCTTTATTGGATACTTAGAAAAATCAAAGGGTTTTAAGTTCTATTGCACTTAGGCACACACAAGAATACAAGAAACTTAAATGCCATATTTTTAGAAGATGAAGATGTATCTGATATGGTTCCAGACAGCCTTGAATTTGAAGAAATGGTGCAGTCGGATTTTGATACTTCACAACTTAATTATACTCAAGTACCTTTGCTTCAGAAATCCAACACCATTAATTCTGATCTTGATGAAGACATGATGGATGTGCCGGAGAATCTTATTCAAAATAACAATCCAAGTACTGAAACTCAAGAAATGACTCAGTTCGATTTGGATCATAATGTTAGTGATCAACACACTGATAACTTGTTGGAACAACCATAACCAAGGAAATCTAGCAGAATAAGAAAACCTGCAATCTCAAAAGACTATGTGTATCTTCAAGAGGCAGATTTTGACTATGGTGATATCTATGATCCTGTGACCTTTCAGCAAGCAATGAAGAGCCTTCAAGTAGTTCTATGGCAAAGGCAAGAAGAACTTGATTCAATGCAGAAAAACAATGTTCGGTCCTTGGTGCACTTGCCAGCTAAAGTTCAGACTATTGACTGTAAATGGGTATACAAGACCCAGAGGGATGCTGAAGGAAGGATTGAAAGATACAAGGCTAGATTAGTTGCAAAAGGGTTTACACAAAGAAAGGGGGTTGATTATAAAGACACTTTTTCCCCAGTATCTTCAAAGGATTCTTTGAGAGTTATAATGGCCTTGACTGCCCATTTTGATCTGGGATTACACCAAATGGAAGTCAAGACTGCTTTCTTGAATGGTGAGCTCGATGAAGAAATATTCATGACTCAACCTCCTGGATTTGTTGAAAGGGGGAAAGAAAATATGATTTGCAAACTGAACAAGTCAATTTATGGATTAAAGCAAGCTTCAAGACAATGGTTCTTAAAGTTTGATTAGGTGGTGACTTCACAAGGTTTTTGAAAACAAGATGGATGATTGCATTTATCTTAAAGTTAAAGGCTCGAAATTCGTTTTTTTTGTCTTATATGTTGATTATATCTTGTTGGCAAGTTTGGATATCTAAATGTTGAAAGATACAAAAGGTATGCTCAGTAAGAATTTTGAAATGAAGGATCTTGGTAAAACTCATTATGTTTTGGGTATTGAGATTATCAGGGACAGAAATAAAAGGCTTCTTGGTTTATCTCAGAAGGGTTTCATTGAGAGAGTACTCAATCGATTCAATATGGAAAACTGCAACAAGGCTAAGGTTCCAGTTAACAAAGGTGACAAATTCTCTTGAGATCAATGTCCTAAGAATGAACAAGAAACCAAGCTCATGAAGTTAAAACCATATGCTTCATTGGTTGGCAGTCTCATGTATGCCAATATTTGTACTAGACCTGACTTAGCCTTTATTATTAGACTTTTGGGAATATTTCAATCAAATCCAAGAGAGTCTTATTGGGTGGTTGCAAAGAAAGTATTGAGGTATTTGCAGAAGAATAAAGCCTTCATGTTGGTTTATGAACAAAAAACCAATTTGCAATTAGTTGGCCACATTAATTCAGATCTTGCAGGGGATATAGATGAAAGAAAATCGACTGGAGGATATATTTTCAAGTTAAGTGGAGGGGTTGTTTCATGGAAAAGTGCTAAACAGTCTATAGTGTCTACTTAAACAATGGAAGTTGAATTTGTGGCATGCTTTGAGAGGATGAAGCAAGCAGTTTTGTTAAGGAACTTGATAGTTGATATGAAGCTAGTAGAATCAGTTAAAGAACCGATAATAATACTGCTGTGTTTTTCTCGAAGAACAACAAAAGAACTTCAGCCTCGAGGTTAATGGATGTGAAATTTCTCAAGGTAAGAGAGACGGTTAAAAAAAAGGGGAAATTGATATACAATATCTGTCTACTAGTATGATGATTGCAGATCCTCTTACCAAGGCCTTGCCAAATAATGTGTTCATGTTACTAAGATGGGAGTTTTGGAGTCTTTTGATCAGTGGGAGTATAATGTTTAAAGGCTTGAAGATAGTTGCTTTTGTTCAGTTAGAACATGGCAACGATGAGCTTGAAGATTCCCAGAACTAAGTTAGTCTAGTTGGCTTAGTTATGCTTATCTAGTTGTTAGTTTATTTTTGGTTTTTAACAAGTGTTCAATTTTTCCAATTATGTGATTAATTGTTACAAAAGACAAATTTGTTTAATAATAGTTAAGATTGCTAGAAAATCGTTTTGGATTTTTATGTTGCATTCTTTATAAGTTGTTATTATACTATTGAGTTTGATATATATGTTCTGATAATTATTATTCTGTTATGAAGTTGGTTAATATCAATGGGAGTAATGTTTTGGTATTACTCTAATATTGATTCAAATGAATGTACAGATCAGATATGCTGTGATTGTTGGATCAATTCTGTGTTGTACAGTTTAGATTCTTGAATTCCATATTTTGAAATGTATTCTGGTGTGTGATTGTGAGCTTGTTGATTTTTGGACTTGGTGATCACTTCTATAAATCTTAAAAGACTGGTTTTGCAAATTCATACCCAAGTGGGAAAATGTAAGTTTATGAGTATGAATTGTGGAAGGAATTAGTTCTTGTGTCTAACATTGATATGGAAAAGTCTTTGTCAAAAGCTTCAACTTATTTGGTTTCCTTGTGGAATAAGTATTGAGAGATTCTGAGTAACCTTGTGAGATTAAAACTCAGTAATAGAACACGTTTAGGATTGATATGTTGTATCAATCATGGAGTTCGAATCCTATATCTATTCTGATAGGGAATGACAAAAGGGTTACTGTAAGAGACTTATGCCACTGCTCTTGCAAGATGCGGTTCATAGCATTCTGAGTCCTATTGTTTGGAAGAACCATTGTGCCTTGCTAAAGAGGAGAAGGCTGCAAGCTGTGAAGTCGCAATGGCTTCTTCATCTGGTTCCAATTCTGCAGGTAAGTTCTCGAGTCTTTCTCATGTATGAATTCATCTCTTGGTTAAATGAAGTTGTGATTTAATTGGTTGTATCCATGTTCTTTAGATTGATAAACTGTTCAAATTTATTCTTACATTAGCTGCTGGATTTCATAGTTTGGAACATAGTGAATCAAGTAAGTTTCTTTGTCTTGTTTGCTTTGCTTCCATCTTTCTTAATCTCTATGCTACATTGTTATTGAGCTTTATTTCGGTTTTCAGTTGTCTTCTTTGTCATTTGAACCTTTTTTTATTATTCGCTCAGATATCATTGCCTTTTTTTTCATTGTTCAAAGCGTTTGTAGTCGTACGTCGAATAACATTTGAACTTGTGGTTGATTCAGTTCGTCTGAATCATAGTATTTATGCCTTCTTTGTGAAGGAGTCTGGACCTATGATCAGTCGGATAAAGCCACGTAACCAACTGATGAGGAATTACAGAAGCTATTTGTATTGTTATTAATTCATTGGATTCTTGTGTCCATTCTATTGCAGCTCTTGAATCCATCTCCTTTGACTATGCATTCGAATAATTTCATTGAAGATAACGTTGCTTACTGAGCTTTGCAACTCACCCTTTTTCCCTTCCGTTTCAGCAGCTTGGGTGAGAAGTTGACACATGTTTTGGTGTATATTTGAAGAGCTGTACAAGATTTTTGTTCATTTTAGAAAACACTAAATGTTTTGTAGCTATTTTGACAACATTGTGCACATTAGATGTTTTCTACCTTTATTCTGGATTTTGGAACCTTTATAATTTCATTTTCAGGTTATTTGAAGGAAATCATAATAAATTGTTTATTTTAGTTTGGGAGAACGGGAAGTATTACTTTTTGCTCTTAAAAGTAAAATGAAATGTCACCTGCTCGAATTTAGTTTGGGTCAAATCCGTTACATGACACGCGATGAGGTGATAGTACTAGTGTAATCCATTAGGTACCATTTGGTACGTGGGATGGATGGAACGCAGTGAGATGGGACGCACTCGTCCAACGTCTGGTGCACCAATTTTCCTAGGATGTGTTGTCCCGTGAAACGGATTTTAGTCAATTTTTTGTGCCACCCTCCCCCTAGAACGACTTGTTTCAGCCCTTGGAACACAAAATTATAACTTTTTGGACAATAATACCCCTCCTTTTTTCATTAATTTCACTTTCTACCCTCTCACTCCCATAACCTCCCTCTCTCCTATAGCCTCTTCCTCCTCCACCACAAACCCAGCAACCTAAGCTAACCCAATCCCAGTAAACCAATCTAAACCCAACCCTACCTTCCTTTTGCAGCCTCCCTCCTCCCTGCTAGTCCCACGACAAGACCGTTGCCCTCTGCCATGAAAACCTCAAGACCACCCCACTTGCAGGACGTGGCCGACGTTGTCGCTCGAGGGATAGGACGACAAGGATTAGGCGGAAGATGTGAGGGATGATGTTGAACCCGTTGGCGGTGGCTCAAGTAAGGTCGAACTCGTAGGAGTGGATGGGTACGATTGTCTTTTAATCCTTCATTCCATTCCGACCAAAACGTACACCAAACGTAGTATGGAACCTCCGTTCCGTTTCATCCCGTCTGCATATCAAACGGTACCGTAGAGCATATTACTTTGTAGTGTAAACGATTTGATCAAAGACTTTAAGACCTTCAATTAGATAGAGACGTGGAATTATTGAACTAGCTTGAGTGCAGAAACTTGAGTGTAATGAGGATATTTCTGGGAACTTGGTTACATAATAGTGTTAGTCTTAGGTCACGTGATAAGTGTTGTAAAGTGATGGAATATGTAACAATTTCATGCCCTTTTAAAATTAGGAAAACTAATGAAAATTGCTTGAAAATTTTGAGTTTTAATGAAAATGACAAAAAGGTGTTGTAAGTGAATAGTACCAAGATTGACTTTATAGAGTAAAAATGTGATTTTTTGTTAAAATGAACAGTACCAGGAGCTTTTCATTAAAGTTCCCTTTAAAATTTGGGATGTTTAAGTAATAAATTAATTGTGATGCACTCACTGTCAAAGTTTTCAACTATAAGTTTGTCAAATAAATTATGGAGTTTTAACGAAACATTCCCCGATACTGTTCACTTTTAACGAAAAACCACATTTTTACCCTTACTGGGTACTATTCACTACACTTTTATTTGTCCCTTTTCATTAAAACAAAATTTTTTTTGAAATTTTCGTTAGTTTTCTTAATAAATTAAGCATCATATCCAAGAAAAGTTAAAAAAAAAAAAAAAAAAAAAAAAGATAACTATAGTTTGTCAATATTTTTTTGAGAGATCGCATTTTTTAACCATTAGTGTACCATTTAATGTGGTAATTAATGTGTACATGTCATGCCTATTAATTAATTTATCTTATTGGATATTGGTTGTATGCATCACTTGTCACATAAGATAATACACTAATATAATACAAAATTATAATCTCCCTAGTATTACTTCAGATTTGTTTCATGATAACAACTAGAGAATGGTGTCCAAACTTATTATTAGATGATAATTTCTGACAATTAAGACATCATTTGGGCAATATTAATTTTACAACATACACCTTTTTATTCCTTTCAGAAATTTACATAAACCTTTTTATTCTCTTCAGAGTAATTTCTGTACTGCTTAACATCATCACTTAATCCTCAACTCGTCAAGAAAAGACTTTCCATGAAGCTTACGTTGAAAAAATGCTTTGAAATATTCTTTAACACTCAGCCTTTTAAATGCTGCAGGTGTTTGCTCAGTGATCAAGCTAGAGGCCGGGCAGATTTCACCATCAACTCCGGGGTTGTAAAATGTGGCGATTGAGAGCCTTTCTTTTTCAGAGTTCACAGTTGCACGATGTTCAATGCTACGATACGTCCCATTTGTTATAATCTGCCACGCATACATGCATATATTTAAACACAAAAAATAAAAGGCAACAGCTGCAATAGGTATAAATTATTAAGGATCAAGCTTTTGTTTGAAATAATTGTTCAACA